TTTTTTAAACTAAACTAAACACCAACAAACATTGCTTACACTCATAAAATTTAACACAATACATAATAACTTAGATAAACAATACATGACATTTAAATTATAGAACAATAAACACGTCAAACAACATAAAAAATCAGTTGAGACCCAGCTCTTCTTTAAGCACGGCAAGAAGTCCCTGGTGGGCTTGCAATTCTTCTTCTGTCATGGTCGAAGTATCCTCCTTTAGCATTTCTCTGTACGTCTTCCATGACTCTATACGAACTACGTTTCCAAATCCTTTTGTTTCTTCAGATGAATTTCTTTAACCTGACCAATCTCAGCCAACAGACGTTCAACATCTGGACCAGTGCTTCCTCCTGCAGTTTCTTTTCCCTTTCTCTTCCCAGCCTTTGCTGCTTTTTGGCCAATTGGTCGACGCACATATCTGTCCCCACCATCACCACTAGGATCGACATCCTGCCCAGATCCAGAAGTGTGATCTCCAGTATCAGATATTCTAGCTTTCTTGCCTCCTCGGGATGTGTGAGATGGTCCATCAAATTTGGCATTATCTTTCAATACCTCCCAACAATGAAGCCATTTAAAGCCTCCTTTCTTTTTCCCCTCGCTATTCCATTCCATTAATGCATTCTGCAAAACAATTGCATCATTTTCACCACTTCTTTGATCAGCCCGAAACCTGTTTATTGACGCATTAAATTTGAGGCAATCTCCATGAAAAGCATAAAAATGATATTTTGCTGCCTCCATAGTTCTCTGAACAAGGTTTCGTGCTTCACCAGCTTCATTATAGTACTGTGTAATTCGCCTCCAAAAACCTTCGGACGTTTGCTGAGCGCCAATGACTGGATCACTTGAGATGGTACAAAAAGCTCGACATAGTAAAACATCCTCGTCATGTGTCCACGGCATTGCTGCCGTTTTACCCCGTCTTTTTGGCTCAACTTCCTTGGGTTTTTCTGAATCTGCATCAAGGCAAATGTTGTCGAGTCCTTCAACCTCCGGGATCATGCCAGGTCTTGGGACTTCAATGCCATATTGGGCCGGCATTGACCACATATACCGGGATTGATTCATGTTCATTAAATTTGGTGATTGAGGAAAAGAAGGTTGCTCTGAAGTTTGTGACATTGGATAAGAAGGCATTGGTGCGAGTACTTGAAAAGGAAAATTTTGAAACTGGGGTTGTAGTTGCATTCTAGGAAATTGAGAAAATTGCATATTTCATGTATAACGTGAATTTACGGAAGACGGACTGTCATCCTCCGATGAGTTTGGCATATTTGGGTTAGATCTGTATTGATTATTATCCATTACACTTTGAGAGATGTAGATGATATGACTTTTTTTTTTTTTTTTTTTTTTTTTTTTTTTTTT